TGCCATACATTTCATACCACTGGTCCTGGAGATATTGTCAATGTCTTAATGTCTTCCTTCCATCTCACTTAAATTTTGAGACCATAATCCCTTTTTTCCTCTCTTAAAAATTCTCAGCGTTGAAGCTCAATCTATTAGATACCTCTAGCTGGCACTACTAGTTGCAGTCCTGTGCAGACTACCGAGTCATTTTCTTTACTCCTTGAAGACTTAAAGTCTATCTTACTCTCACTCTCTCTGACACCACTCCTATTAAAATATTATGTTTCTTTAACTATTTTTTCAGTTTTTGGTCTCCTCTCCTTCAATGAGGATGATTTCTAGAATGTTGGTTCTCAAAATGTGGTCCCTTTGCAAACATCATCAGCACCTGGGAACCTGTTATAAATATGAATTCCCAGACCACACCGCAGACTACTAAGCCCAAAACTCTGGGAGCTGGAGCCCAGAATCTATGTTTTAAGAAGCACTTCAGGTGATTCTGATGAAGATGTCAGTTCCTTAGATGTTGTTATTGTCATTACCGACAATTTTCTCTGAGACCACAATTTGAGTCTCTGATTTTTCACTAGTTCTCAACCCATTTTAAGTCCTTACTTTCCCCTTGCCAGCCAGACATTTGAATATTCCTTAACTCTTCTCTTTCACATACCGTATCCAAAGAATCAACAAATGCTGTCAGCTATACCTTCAAAATACTTATAGAATCTAACTTTTAACCTCCACTGCAGTCATTCCAGTCCAAGCACAATCATTTCCCACCTAGAGTGTTGCAATTGTTCTTATTTGGTGGCCCTTGGCCCTACTTTATCTACTTTCCACAAAGCAGCCAGAGTGTTTCTTTCAGCACCTAAGGTCATATGGCTTCATTGATTGAAATTCACCATGCGTGAATTTCTCTACGCAAGCCAAAGTCCTTGTAAATGCCTGCAAGGCTCTAGGGTGACCTGACCTTCCCTGGCCAGGAAGTCATGCCCACCTTTGCCCTCCCTCCCTCCCACTACTAGTGATCTTCATTTTTATTTTTAGAAGGTATTACATTACCACGTGATATACTCTTGTTCCTTTCTGTCTTGTGCCATTAGAGTGGAAGCTTCACAAGGGCAGAAGTTTTTCTTGTTCACTGACAGAGCCTCCGTTTCTGGAACTCTGCCTTGTACTGAGCAGACATGCAGTTATTTGTAAATACATGAATATAGGAAGATAAATTTGTAGGTATGTGTGTGATAACACTGTCCTTATTGGGACTACCCCTGCTTGAGAAGTAAAGCAGGGCATTCCAATAAGTTTACTAGGTAAAGTAAACTTAATCAGGATACTTAACCTAACACTTGGCCTCTGGTCTTTAAGCAAGTTTCTTTTCCTGTCGCGTTTCATATAAGTAAGCTCTAGGTTACTTTTAGTAAGCTAAAAGTAAGCTTAGTCCTTCATGGTTAAAGGACAGCAATATTGTCCTTTATGGCATTTAAAAAACCCAATCCAGAATCACACATTGCACTTAATTTTCATGCCTTTAGTCTCCATTAAATATGTTGCCCTTTGTATTAATAATTTGAGTGATGAGGGACAGAGTTTAAGAATATATAAATATTTTGTCCCCAACTGATTGTCACTGGATGGCTTTAGCACCCATTGGTGATTCTTGCCTGAATCAATAATTATTGCGATGACCGAAAATAGTGATTTTTCTCTTTATAATTCTTCTATATTTATTAATTACCCTAATATTATTCTATAGAACAGAATGTTCTCTTCTCATCTTTTGTTTGTTTAGTGTCAGTATTACTCATGAAGTTGGGTGTTTTGAAAATTCAATTGTTGTATAATCTATTACTGTTATTATTCCGTTTTGTATTGTCTCAGTTTGGGTCTTTCATCTGAATCCTCTCATGTAAGTAGTATAAAGATCAGCAATAGAGGAACCTAGAGTAAAGTGTGAGCAGAGAAGCCTTACTCTGAGACAAACTTCAGAGAGGTGAACTCTGTTGCTGATTAAGAAAAGCTTCACTGAGGAAGTGTTGTTTGAAGTGAGCTTTGAAAAGTCATAAAATTTTGACGAAAGTGGGGATGGGGTGGAGCATAAAGGAAAAACTGTGTGAACAAAGGAAGGTCTGGCAGACTAGGAATTTGGCAATAATACAATGATTCTGGACCTTGATGAGGAAGTTGAAATGGAACATAAAAACCCTCCGCATTTCACTTCATTTATTTGCTCAGGCAGCTCTCATTGCCTAAAATTTTCACCCCTGCTGTTTTGCTAAAGGGTGGGATAAGGGGTAATGAGGGAGGAAATTTTAGGGGGTGAAAACAGCACAAGCCAAAAGCCCCACTCAGATACTCACTTCTCTTGAAGCCTTTTCCAGATCCCTAATAAGAACTAACCACCCTCTCTGACACACTCTGTTGTACTTTGTGCTTCTCTGTTAACATGCCTCTGTGTTTTGTGCTGTCTGTATTTGTGGATACATCTTCCTCCTTTAAAGTACAAATCATATCTTAATCCCTTGGCCCTTCTACCCAGTACTTAGCACAAATGCTCAGTAAATGTTTCTTTTCTTTTGGAGACAGAGTCTTGCTCTGTCGCCCAGGCTGGAGTGCAGTGGCCGGATCTCAGCTCACTGCAAGCTCCGCCTCCCGGGTTTACGCCATTCTCCTGCCTCAGCCTCCCCAGTAAATGTTTCTTTAACACGTGTGACAGAGAAAGGAGAGGAGAGTGATTAGGATTGGGAGCAGGAGGGTTCTGAATGTCATTTTAAGGGGTTTGGGCTCGCTCTTGGCAGCAATGAGCCATAGCCGCCTTTGAACTGTGCAGCACTTATCAGAGCTGTGATACCAAAGGATGCAGTGGAAGGGGAGGACAGCCAGCATGCCTGGGCACGGTCCCCAAGTCAGAGGACATCAGTGGGAGAAGGCATGGAAGCAAGTAGCTACCATCTTATGAATCTGAGCACCCATTGAAATGTGGCAAGGAAAAAGGAAGGCATTGAGCTTGGTTTTGAGGTTTCCAGCCTGGGTGATTGGAGGCTGATGCAGGCTTCTTACTAAAAAGGGCTCTAGGCAGTTTCACCAGGAATGTTTAAGGAGTTTATCATGACCCTATCTCTTCCTCATCTAAAAGTCTTCCTAAAATCAAAACAGTATGTCCTGTGGAAATATTTCATTGTATCAAATATAATGAGAAGTAAAATATTCTCTCTACTTGACGTATGAAACACTGACTCCTTGTAGTGGACAATTTTCACTTGTCTTTTTAGTAATGGATTTTATTAAAAATAGATGTTAATAACGGCTTCTTTAATCTTTAAACGTGGCCCTCTGAGAGCAGCTTACCATAAAAGAAACGGTTGTCAGCTTTCTTTTAGCTCCTCAGTCCCTCCTGCCCCTTCCTAACAACAGAAAATTTGCTTTGCACCTGCTCCAACTGGGTTCGAAGAGATAAGCATCTTGCAAGCCCAGAAAATTGTAGTATCAAATCTCAGCCCCAACTGTGAGGCAGCACTGTCATCGAATCCCTGCTGAGAGGCGTTGCTTTCCCAATTCCCAAAAGAGTTCTTTCTCCCCGGCCCCTTTTCAGGCTTGAACTCTGACCGAAACCCTCTTTTTAACTCCCAGCATGCACTGCACTTGGTACTGACACTGACCCATCCCTGCTTCCTCTATTCTGCACTGGACTCATCAGTAGGTCAGGCGTTGGTAGCCCCGGGGTCACTGGGGTGCCCAATTCCAATAATGAGCACATTTAGCCAAGGAGAGGAAATGTACCCTTCTATTTGTTACAGTCCATTGCTTTTTTCCAGAAACAAATGCTAAAAGAACATTTGATATATTGTGGTTTGGTAAATACACATATGCACTGCCTAATATTCACAAAGTTGCCTCTCTTTTTTTGCATCTTCATAAAATAAATGTATTGTTCTAACTCATGATTTATTTTAAGAGGGATATACCTATTTCACAGCTAGGAAAAATGTAAGTGTTTTAAAATAAAGTTATATTCAGAATTCTCTTGCAATAATTTCAAATAAAAATAGCAAATACTATTTAAATGCCTATCACATTCTAACAGACTTGTGTGTCATTTTAAAGGGAAAGAAAAAAATGCTGACAAGGACTTTACAACGTTGTCTTTAAAATTTCTTCTTAGGCTTTCCAAACAGACCGAAGTCATTAAAAATACTCCTTAACCCCGAAAGTCACAAAAAAGAAGCTACCCAGGTTTATTATGAGAAGGTTGAACCTCTGTTGAAGCTTGCAGGAATAAAAACTGATGTAACAGGTAAGTAATTTTCAGAATATAATTTCACCATTTACAAAAATGTACAAAAGCAAGATAACCTGAATTTGTTCTTAATGCAAACTTGGGAAACTACTTGTAATATCTACAGCATTTTTATGTCTTCATAACCTACTGGAGCCAGCTTGAGGGTTACAATTTAATTATTTTTATTAGAATGTTAATATTTTCTCTTTAGAACTTTTCAGATTTTTTTTTCAGATGTAAACAATTGTTAGATATAATTCTAAAGGAAGCTATATACTTGTTTACATCTTCATTGAGATGTTTGCTATTTACATGTTAATTTTGCAGTTAGGCAAGCAATTGATTTTTTGCTCGCTTATATAGTTGATGTCGTTCCATAGAATTCTTCCTCGGGTTGTTTTTGTTCTGATTCTGACCCCTGCTGGTTAGGTCAAAACTAAGCACTGAACTGCTGGTTTTATTAATAGATGAATTTAGAGAGGCTAGAAGTTTAAATTTGTTGTCTAAACTAAGAAGTGTACTTAGGTTTGTGCCAAGGAAAATAGAAACTTGTTAATGCTAAAATTATTACATGATTAGTAATATCCTTTTTGATTTTTTGAATTTGGTGGCCACATTTCTTTATTTCTTTAAGACTTATTTTTGTATGGTGGGGAACTGAGTAGAAGAGTCGATGCTATGGAGAATCACAACTTTCCTAACTTTATTTCTATGTGGCTTCACTAACAGTGGAAATTTGCAATAAATTTTAATTAATAAAAAATATTATAAAATAAGCCTACTCAGGGGACAAGCCCAGAGTGCAATTGGAATTTCCTAGTCCCAGTTATAAATTCCTAAGGAAGGGATTCACAGTGATGTGGCCTTACTCAGGTGTAAACAAAGGAGATAGGTTTCAAGACGTAAATAATGTCATTGAAGGCTACACCTAGTGATTTGGTGGACTGAGGTAGAAGAAAGTTCCCAAAAAAAAAAAAAAAAGCAAGTTTTGTAGGAAGTTCAGCCCCCATGAAGTGTGCTTACAATTATAGAGGTTCAAGAGAAACTACCATGAAAACTCAAGGGGAATTTTTGAATTAAAATAAAGTTATAGTGAAGAAATTAACTTTCATGTTTGTGACCTTTGGCTTATTTAGAGGTGATTTACAAGTAAAAGAGAGAATTCAGATTTATGTTTTCTTTCTTTTGAAGATTTCCAAAGATGGGCTGAAGGAAAAGTTTGAGATTTGTATTAGGGTGAGACAATTAAAAGTTGAATAAACATGTTGGCATACTAAATGACTATTTTGTGTCGTTGCTTTTACATGTGAATATTACAAAGCAAGCTTGACATGGATATTGCTATATAGCATTCACTTCAGGAATCTCATTGTATGCTTGCTCTGTGTTCAGCGTTGTGCAGGATGCAAGATCAATAAGATATCATACTTGCAATTGGATGACTTGCTATGTTATTAGGGATTCAAAGAGATACTTAAAATCATTATAGCTGGGGTATACATAAAATAACTTTAATGTATCAGAGGTGATATTTTGATCGGAAGGTTCAAGAAAAGCATTTGAACTAGGCAGTTTTTAAGAGGGAGACAAAAAATGAGGGAAGGAAGTCAGGCTAACAGGCATGTACTGTAAAAGTGGGGTGGGGGAGAGAGAGAGTATGTGTGTATGTGTGAGAGAGAGAGTCTGTGTGTGTTACACCCACACGTCTTGAGAGTTTGTGCCATAACTTTGATCTACTTTCCTCAGTTTTGACATTATCTGAATTCTTATCCTATCATCATAAAATAGCTGCCAGTGGATTTGATCCTTTCTTATTAATATCCAGTGGGATGGGGAGAGGTGTGCATATGTGTGCGAGAGAGACCCAACATGCTTTAATCCTGAAGATGAATTAAAATTTCCTTTTTTCAGTTTGGGTACAGATACTGTATTACTTCAGTCAATCTGGAATAATCATTTATTTAACCATCAAGACTCTTCCCAGGGGCTGAGGGCAGATCCCCTTTTCCTGATGGCTGAAATGCCTCAATTGAATCTGGATTCTGTTAGGGATAAGAAAGGGCAAAATGACTTCTAGGAAAGCTCTCAACAATGTATACTACAGGAGATGTAATTCCAGGTTATGAATGAATCCTAATGCTGCACTCAGCAGTTTACTCATCATGTATTGATCCACAGTTGGTGTAAAATTTTTTTTTATCATAGTGTTGCAATCTGATTTGGCAAGATGACTCCACCAGCAGAATTAAAATTTAAAAGGAAGAGAAAAAGAGATTGGAGACAAGAAAACTGGTATACAAAGCCTGAACTAAGGCAGAGGAAATCATCTAAATGTGCTTTCCTTCTTTCTTGTATTGGAGACAAAAATATTATGTCTAGAATTTTGTTCTCTAAATTTGTAAATATTACTAAGTACCATATTTAAAAATAAAACAATAGAATATTCCATAAAGCAAATTTAGAATTTACTTACATTTATGCCGAATGGCTAATTATTAGCGGCCTAACACTCCTCCTACAGGCAAATTTATAAAATTACATCCTTCACTTATAAAACCATTTTAGTATGCATATTGGCTCAGTATTTATGAAAAAATATTTCTTGAATAAACCTGAATTTTTGAAAAGTTTTAGTCTTTCTGCCTACCTTACAGTGTTATTTTTGTGGTTGAAATAATATATTTGAAACTTTGTATATTATACTACAGAAAGATGGTCATAATACTGTTTCAGTTTCAAAAATTATGTCATAGTAAGATTGAATTTGTATTTTATTTGAAAAAAAAAGCATATGGAAGAGTAAAGCAGAAAGAGGACATATCTTCTACATGTCCAGTGGGACATTGTTGTAATGTATCCTTGTGTGCATGGGTGAATCCAAATGGAATTGGAATTACAAAATAAACCCTATATGATGAGTTCATTAGGAAATAGTGCTATATAAATATGAAGTATAATATGAACAATTACAGCTAGATATATACACAATAAGGTATTGTAATTTTTTCATAAATTTATTTTAAAAATGGATCTTACCACATTAATAAAAATATACTTCTTTCAGCTTGGGTTGTGCCAGAATCCTAACTACTTCTGAATATAGATCAGCATGTTTCAAAATATTTGTGCTAAACTTGCATCCCCACTCTGCTACAACCACCAATGTAGCATCTTATCTAATGGCATCAGAAAAACTTCTGGGAGAACCTGGGAAGAATTATTTTTTCCCAATTACCTATTCATACACAAATCAAAGAAGAGTATGAACTATAAGCCCACGCTGGCATATGATATCATTTCTCTTGCTTCTAAAACAAAGCAGGTTTTAGAGATTGTACCATTAAAGGTGTGAGAGATATTCTGAGGATCAGAGATCCATAGGATAATGCATAGAACAATAGAGTGAAAAAGTTAAGGCAGCAGAGAAATCAGACTGATAAGAACTTTTGAGGCCATATGGTTCAATTTTTTCCTTGTGGGTGGAGCACAGATGTGTGGCGCTAAACTTTGGCTTGGCCACCTACACTAGAGGCAGAGTATGTTACTGGACAGTACTGTTTGACATTCTTTTTTTAAAATTATACTTTATGTTCTAGGGTACATGCGCACAACATACAGGTTTGTTACATATGTATACATGTGCTGTGTTGGTGTGCTGCACCCATTAACTCGTCATTTATGAATGTTCAGAGTTACTGTACCTTTGGGCAGATTAGAAAAGGCACTTCCTCTGTGCTAACTTACAAAAAGTTGCCCTTTCTTCCAGGCTAATTCATCCTTTGCTTATAAAACCATTTTAGTATGCATAATGCATTTAGTATGCATATAGTATGCATAGTATGAAAATATTTCATACTTTCAAAATATTCATATTTCAAAAATATTCAGCCCAAGGTCACTAGATTCAGCCTAGGGTCATTTGTTAGATTGCAAATTCATCATTCCTGTTGGCCAAGTACCTTCGTGCTAGGCATAAACTGTACAAAGTGAGAACTTGTGAGCTGAC